CCGCCTCCGTCCGGGACCTCCGGACCCGCCCCCGGGTCCCCTGCCGCGGCCCCGGGCGGGACACACCCCCGGGTGGCGGCACCCCATTGGCTGCCCGTGGGGCGGGGGCGGGGCCGCTCTAGGCCGCTCCCTCCTGGCGCCCGGCGGCGGCTGCGCTGGTGGGGAAACTGAGGCAGGGGAGGCGGAGGCACCGCCGGAGTCACCGGCCGGGCGAGTACGCCGTGTGGGGCTGGCCCGGCCCCGCGCGCCCGGAGGGGCTGAAGTCCAGGCGGGGTTGGGCGCCAGGCTGAGGGACGGGTGGCGGTTCCCGCTCGGCGCCCGGGCTACGCTGGCGATGCCCCTCCTCCCCCGGACAGCCGGGCTCTGCCGGCCCAGACCCCGCGGGGGCAATGTGCCCTGGAGTTTCGGGGGTGCGGGGCGGACAGGGAAGGACCTTGTTCCTGGTACCTCAGGATGCACAAGTAGGAGAAAGGAAATGCGAGCTGGGAGGACGCGTCAACAGGTGGCGAAGGTGCAGGGGACCGAGATGGGGGAAGGGCGACAGGGACAGACGCGGGGACGCACTGTCAACTCCGACTCCCAGCCCCCACCCCAGCCTGGGATGCCGGGGAGCCGTGCAGGCTCCCGCGGTGCGTCGGAGCGAGGGGCGGACGTTGTGCTGGGCCAAGACTCTGGGCCTCCGCCAGCGCCACTGGTGAGAAGAGGGGAGCGCTGCAAAGCGGCTTTGTTTGCGCGGCCACGCCCGAGCTCCCCGCGGGGAATGCACAAAGCCCCCGGTGCCAGCGCATCAGGACACCCCTTCTTTGGGAACAAAATGTGTGCTATGCCAGCCCTCCTCCCCGGCCCCGCCCCTGCTCCAGCACCGTTCTATTTGTAGCGGAGCGCCCAGGAGGACCTGCTCAGGGCAGGAAACCAGCTCCAAATAAACCCTGCATTCGGAAGAGACCCTGGAGAGCAGGCCTACCTGGCCCTTCCCCAGGTGTCATTTAAACTCACCCTTGTTGATTAGCCCCATACCTGTGGTGAACTTTGCCCCACCCTGCAGACACCCACATAACTGACAAGCCCAACTTTTATTGCCAGTATTATGTTTCAGAGTTTACAAAGTGATCCGTGTCGATTGTATCCTGGATATCTCGCAGGCAGTAGTATTATTTATTCATGCATCTTGGGGCCATACTGTGCTGGGCGTCATGAATATAGCAGCCAAGGAAGCTGGCCATGAGGGCATCCAGTCCAAAGACGTCACCTGACATACTCCAGATCCCAGGCTGTCAAGGACCAAGAGTGCAAACACGCAGAGGTGTTGGCGTCTTTTCCCAGATGCACCATGATTGTCTGTCAAAAACCCAGTTCAACCAGGCAGCTGGACAGATCTGGTAAAAATTGTTTTGAATGAGGACAAAAAAAAAAGCAGTCTACGTTCAACAGAGTTGTGTGTACACCCAGCAGACATAGAGAAACTATATTCTTGGGTTCTTGGGGCTCCCAAGGTTTTAGGGAGAGAAAACTTGTTTTTCACACATGTGTCAAAATTTGTCACTGTTGGACAAATGCTCTCAGCCAGCCCCCCACCTGCCCGTAGAAAGTGGAAGCATGTGCAGGACTTTCTCCTGGGAGAATCCTGGCCAGAAAGGCTCCAGACGTGCTGCCCTCGAGGGACTGTGGGTTCCTGTTTGCCATGAAGACTTTTTGTCACACAGCCTTCATAGGAGAAACTGGCACAAAGGACACCCCCCCACCCCCCACCCTGTCCCCAGCTCCTGGAAGTTTCTCCTTCCCTTCCTCCCTCCTTCCCTCCTTCAGCCTTGATGGAGTGTAGGCAACACAACAGAACAGAGAAGGCCTCCAGAGCAGGGACTGAGCAGAATGTGCCCTGTAACTTTGGGGACAAATCAGTGCTTTTGAAAATGTGTTTGAGCACCACCTGAGTTCCTCTTTGGAGGCTCCCTAAGTACTGGGAGCGTTTGGGGCACATGTACCTTAGTCCATGGCTTCCGTTTACTTGGTGCTAATGCTGTTTCAGGTCCCATGTCATGTTTTCTAATCTTGAAGATCAGAGGGGTAATTAATTATTGTGCCCACATGATAATAGGGAGACTGAGGCACAGAGAGACCCCTGCTGCAGCAGGTCACAAGGCCAGAATTGCAGGGCCCAGGAGAGGAGGCGGGTCTGTGGAGCTCTTGCCGCGCTGAGCCACCCCTGGACATACTGACCTGCCCAATGCCACCAGAGCAGCCTGGGCTCGTCCTTGCCCCCTCCCCAGGAGAGAATCAGGAAGCCGAGACATCAGAGGAGGGGAAGGGGTAGCTGGAGGAAGTGACCGGAAGTGGTAGGAGTCTGCCAGTCGAGACTAGGCAGCAGGTTAGACCCTGAACCTGTAAGCAGGTGGTGTCAGCCATCTGTGTTCAGAGAGAATGTGAGACCTGACCCCGGGTGGGGGGTGATGGAGGAAAGCGTATCCCATGGATCTGGGAGTCCAGGTGGAAGCCTGTCTGTTTGCCCTGCAGCTTAGGTAAGCCCTTTCCAGGAACCGTCCAAGGCCTACAAGGGTCACTGTTTGCCCTTTGCTGATCTGCAAAGCCTCCGTGTGCTTCCAGGGTGTCATCAGCCAGGGCAGTGGCCTCTGATCTCCTGGAAGTGTGCCCTCAGGTCAGGTGGTGGAAGTCAACAGGGTCAGGAGTCACAGACAGAAAGGGAGAGTTCACTGTCGGCGAGTAGAGAGCTGCTCCCTGGCCCACGGCTGGACCTCGGCCCACCATGAGCATGTGCACAGATGCCATCCCAGTAATGGTGGCAAAACCTCACGGGTCCAGGTATCGAAGTCTTGTTGCTTTACATGGAACTTAAAAATGGTTCCACACGGCAGCTGGGTTCATCCCCATTTTACAGATGAGGAAACCAAGGGCCGGGAACGACATCACTTGGCCGAGGTCTCCAAGAGGGAGCAATAACTAGACTCTCAGCATCCAACCCCACATTGCCATACCCACCTGCCCCAGCGACCCCCAGGAGTGCTTGTCTGGTCCAGGAGCCCGTGCCCTCCTGGCCTGATACCCCAGCCGTCTCTGGCCGACCCAGGAACATGGTGTTAAGGATCAGTCTGGGTCAGAGAGAGGGGCCATGTTCAAGGGGTGAGAGAGTGCAAGTGGTACAAGATGGGTAGAGGTCTGCAGGGCCCCCGCCAGATAGCAACTTGTGCCCAGGTCAGGAGTGTGGCTTTACTCCATCAGATTAGTAACACTAAGTGGCACACGTTAGCCAGTTGTTACTGCTGAAGCAGAGGAGGTGAGAAAAACTACCAACTAACTCCGAGGTCTGCAAGATCCGGAACCAGCCACTGCTGTGATAGACACTCAGCCCCTTGGGTGGTTACCCTGTCCCTGGCCAGAGTTTACAGACTGGCTTTGCTTAGGGTACTGGCTTTGCTTAGGGTTCACCATGACGCCAGCCTCTGGCTCTGATATCTGTCTCTGTCACTCTTGAGAAGCCCAAGGCAACCCACACACAGCCACACTGCCCCCTGTCCCCTGTCCCTCTCAAGAGTCAGACCCTCCTTGTCAGCACACGCTATCCCATCCCCAGTTCGCTTAAGGACAAAGGGACAGGTTCTGGGTCAGCGATGTGTTTTGTCCAGTTCAGAGCACGGGCTTGGAGCATTAGGAGCTGTGTGACCTGGTAGGTGACAGCCTCACTGTGAAGTGATGGATAGTGAATTTGGTGGATAAGGGACATTCGGCTCTGCATGGAGGTGAGGTTCACAAAATGACCTGACCCAGGCCAGGGTCCCCACCACGATCAGCCCTCTGTGGGTAGGCGAGGTCTAGTGAGGGACGCAGAGATAAGACATGGTGCAGTGACCCACAAATGCATGGTAAATGCAAGTGTCCACACACATCACTGCCTCTGCCTGGGACACCCTCCCCGCAATTCCCTCCTGAAATTATTGACAGCCTGAAGTTTAGAATCAAACAGACCTGGATTCAAAGCCTTGCCGTACCTCTAACTTGTGCTATGACCTTGGACAAATGATTTGACCTCCTTTCGGAACCTCCTCATAGGTCAAATGGGGCAGCGATGCTACCTCCAGCGGGGCAAGAATTAGGAGGGAGCATGAAAGCAGTGTGGGAACAAGGCCTGACAGGTGGGTCATATTCAAGACATGGTGACCACCTGCCTGAGGGCTCTGCCATGGGTCACCTCCTCCAAAAAGCCTGCTTGGCCTCCATTCCACCGACAAAGCCGCCATCTTGCCACCACCTCCATTTCGGCTTTTGTCTCCTTCAGTGCTATCTTTCCAATGGCTATTCCTCTGCCTGGCTCGCCTCTGAAAACAGCTGGCATTGATTGAGCCCTGGAACCGCCTCAACACCAGGCTAGGTGCCTGTTTTTTTAGTTCCTCACGTGGTTCTCAAGTCGACTCTGGTATCTGCCTTCTACAGAAGAGTCCCGCCAGCCAGTCGAGGCAGCTGGAGCTTGAGCCTGAGCAGCCTGCAGGCCCCAGCCCGGCTGGGGGCTCTGTGACAGAGGGGC